CAACATAATCTAAGATATAAACATTTTTTCAACTAATCTTGATCCAAAATATAAGGATCTTACTATTTGAAAAAAATCACCCCTTATATTTATTAATCTAAATTCTTGTGTTAGTGAATTTGTGACCTTCTTCTCACCATTATAAATTGAAACTAAGGGTAGAAAGGAAAACAAGTATATTTTTAATGAGAATAGAGATTTTATTGTGATACAAAGTATTGTTAAAAGGTGCTTATATTTTAGACTAGATAGAGTATCTTAATAATTAATTAGCATAATTTTCTATTAAAAACTAATATGCTATATACTTATATTTAAAAACTTGATTATAAATTTTTTTTAAAAATATCAAAACAATTACAGACAACATTTAGTTAATTTTAAGTTTTTAATAGATTTCTTACTAATGATACACACATAACTAAATTCAGGAAAGGGATGATTTAGGCTTCTAAAGCATATTGTTAGATTTCAATCCCTGAAAGTATATATAGAGAGTATCGTTCAGGAGAAGACAACCTCTTAAATGGTGTTTAAATTTCTCGAGAGATTAATCTCATAATTGCTACTATAAGAATACCTTGGGAAACAAAAAAAAAATAGGAAAGAGAATTTTTTTTGGGAAAATGTACAAAAAAATATAAAATATTTATAGCAAGATTGGGTTCAATTTCATTCAGGTTTCAAGAAAGCAAAAATTTGAACCAAACCAAATTTATTCATAATCAATTTTGATATATTCATGTCAATTTAGTTTGGTGTAATCAATTTGAACACTCCTAGTGAAAATGCAAAATGGACTACAGAGAGTGCTTCCATGCGAGAAAGTATAATGCATATTTTCCCCCAATTTTTTTACTTAAATTAATTTAGGAGAAATTAATCTTTTAATCTCACAAGTTTTGACTAATTTAAAAATCAATCCCTTGATTATAACTCAGTGTGTCTCTCAATTTTTAACTCGCATATAATTCAATTTTTAAACTTTTCACCATTTATAATTTTATATTTATCATCCTTAACTCATCATGAGTTAGCACAAGTATCAGTCAACATACATGGCAAAAAATATCAATAACACTGTTAAAATTGCTTACATGGTTCGGACTCAGCTTTACATAGTTCAAACTCATAGCTGCACGTAACAATCTCTTAGGTTCTTTTATGCTTTTTCTTATTCTCCAATGACCTCATCTGTAAGGTCTCTTATTCTTTTTGTTTCTTCTTGTTAAAGGAAATCAAGCTCAACCATAGTGTTTCAGTAAGGGAATCCACTGAGACAAGGACCTCAACAATTGGCGTAATGATCTACATCTTCTTAATGTTAGATAGATGCATGACAATATTAACAGCAGCCTTCTATACTGATGGCTTCAAGCATGTTACTTCTCTATCCAGAATCTAAAGATGGGTTTAATTTTTCATGCAATTTATTTATGCACAGGCTTGTAAATAAGCTTGAACTTAGCTCTTTTTGTCCTTTACTTTAAACGATGATGATGAAGATGGGTCTCCATTGAAATCTTTTGAATTGATAAAATATATAGATTCTGCAAATACTTGGATTATCATCTTAGCACGGCAGTTGAGTTCATGGGAATTCTCAAAGCTCTCAATCTTTGTCAGAATGCCAATTTTCATAAAGTCAATGTCTATTTTAATTCAATAGAAGTCTTATCACTCATTGAGCACAACTTCTCTAAAAGACACCTATTTTCTGACATCATCAAAAATATTAGAAATCTCACCATGAAGAACTAAGTAATTACCTTCGATCATGTCTATAGATAAACTAATAAATGTGCTAACTTGCTTGTCCGACAACATTCTTTGGACAACCTAGGCGTCAAGATTCTTGATAATCTCCCAATTGATTGTAGAAACCTTATGGTTTTATTATAGCCTTGTAATAGAAAAAAAATATAAAGAGATACACCTAGAAATTGATAACTGAGAGAAAGAAGAGGAATTGGAGAAGGTGAGTGAGAGAATGATTGAGTAACAAAGGAGACACATTAGTTACAGTTTATAATAAAAAACATGTAATATCCTTGTCGTGTTGAGTTGGAAACTATATAAGGAATTTTTTAACAATATTATTAATAGTTTTTTGCTATATGGGATGGCTCAGTGCTAACTCATGATAACTCATTGATGATAAAAATAAAATTATAAATGGTAAAAGTCTAAAGACTGAGTTTTAGACAAGTTAAGAGTTGAGAGATTGAATTACTCTGAGTCATAATTGAAAAAATGTGTTTTAAATGAGTCAAAATTCAAAGGATTAAAAGATTAATATTTTCAATCATTTAATTTATTTTATTGATAATAATACTAAAAAGCTACTTGTTTTATCACATTTTTAAATAACTTTGAAATAATCATTTTAATTTTAATTAGAAGCAATCATGTTTGAAAGTACTGTTGAATATTAAATGTAAACATCTCTTTCAACAAAAATTCAAACCTTGATTCACTATATTGTGAGGGACTAGTTCCTTTCATTAGACCTAATTCTGATTGTTAATTCATCTGACCTTTATTTGCATGTATGTTCAAGTAATGCATGGCTTGGGCTTCTAGAGTTTTTCTTATCCTATGTTTTATGTTTATAGTTCATCTAGTTCATAAGTTTTACTCTGTAGTTTCTTTTTTGTCCATTCAATTTGGACTCTTGGAAGTTTTTACTTTTTCCCAGGGGTCCTTCGTGTTTGTGTTTGTAATCTTTTTAAAGTTTTTAAATAAAATCTGACTTAACTTTAAAAAAAAGATCAATTAAATTTGTTGTATTTTTATATTAAAAACATGGTCATTAATTTATCTTGTCTATTCTGCCATCACCCACTATTTTCATATAATAATCCTTCATTGTGAGAAAATTAAACCCTAACCTTTATTATCAAAGCAAGCCTTTAACCTAGATTTTTTAATTGCAACTTGTGAGATTGGTGCTATTTAAATGTCAATGTGGTAATGGGAAGAGATGAGGATTATTGGAAGGAATTGTTTGATATTATCTGCTATCTTATTTGGAAGCGAAGGAATTATAAAATATTTGCAAATATTAATACTGTTTCTCATTAAACATACCTAAGAGCCAAGGCTATTGTTTTGGGTTACAATGGAGCATGGCTTAATCTAAAACAAGCTAACATTCAAGGAGTCTTGAAGATGGGAAGCCATCCTATGATGCAAGAGCCAAGAAGGTTGGGTTACTATTTAAGTGAATGGGGCTTATTTTCATTTTAATAGTGCCACAAGTTGTTGGGTTGTTATTAAAGATAATCATAACTCTTCATTGGAAGCTATTATGCTCAGAATTTCAAAGGTAGACTCTCATGGCTGAACCATGGGCTTGTCTTATTGGTCTTTGACAAGTTTAGGATGCAGACATAGGAAGGTGATTTTGAGAGATGATTCTATAGAGGCTTTGAACTTGATCAAATATGGTAATCATGATATGTAGGATACTTGGGATCTGATTCTGGAGTGCTGTAATATGGTCAGTCGAGATTGGATCGTGGATCTTGGATTTATCAAAAGAGAGAACAAGTGGTGAAATTGATAATTTGGCAACATGGGCTCTTAAGCTACCCTTGGGACTTCACTTTCTTCTCCTGGAATAGCTCAATTCATTCCTTTCCTAGTTTGTAGCAAGGTATTTTTTTTTTTTTACTTTCTCCGTGTATTAAAAAAAAATACACATTATCAATAGATTATTTTCCATTTGATTTTCTTGTCAAATTAAACATTAATATACAGAACATGCATATTTTTTTTTCAATGAAATGAGGAATTTTTTTTTTCCAAACTAACAAATGCTTGGTTTAATTAGTAAGGGGGATGAATTCCCTTAATAAAAAATCTTGAGCTCAGACTTTAAAAATATATTAGCATTTACTGGTAGAGCAAAGGATCTCAAACTGGCTTGACTCCAATTAGTTGGAAATGTTGACTTCGGACCCTAAATGATTCACTACCAAAACAAAATATTTTTTTGCTAATATTGGAGACCAATCTTTTTTTTGGTATAATTTAAAATTTAGATGAGTTAAATTTGGAGTCTGCCAAAACATGCCTTCAAACTCAAAAAATTATTCACAAATTGATCACCAAAAAATTCCCACATCTCCTTCTACGGGAATTGGAGACCAATTTTTACTAAAATGTGAAAAATAAATGATAAACTTCACTCAACAGTTTACTTCATACACCGAAGTTGTAAAGTGGGAATTGTAAAAATGATAAGAGTGATAAAGCCCTCCCACTTGCTCGAGGAATTAAAAGCTTACCCTAGTCAAGTAATCAAACGCGGCACGACATTTGCCATGGTTAGTTTCAAGCAAAATGAATAAATAAATAACATTAATATCACCACTCCTACCGCTGCTGCTACACCGCTTTTATTGTTGATCTTCTATGACCATTTCCTTACTTTTCTGCATTGTATTTTCTCGGTAAGCAAAAAAGAATGGAGTGCCTATTCCGGTAAATCCAAACCCCGTGCGTAATTACAGAAAGCAAGTGTTCCTTGAGCAACTCCAAAAAAATTCCATGTCGATTGTCAAATACACAATCGCGTATATTATCATTGCGAATGTAATTGTTGAGTGGACGACATGATCCAAGAATCATGATCCACGTAACACGCTTTCCTTGCGCATAACTTTTCACCTGCTCTCTCACTCCAGCTGTTTGATAAAAGTCCAACTAGAAATAACTAGTTAGTTAGTTATGCAGCACACCGCATCCGAAGATCAAAAGTTTTGAGTTTCCCTAACAAACCATGGACCTTTTCGGAGGATTGATTCAAAATGTCAAATTGCAGGTTAGCCCAGCACCGTCCTTGACGAGAGATCATTTGAAATTATCCGCAAGAAAAGAGTCAGAGACTTCGGTCAAATATCCCAGCTGGAAGCTGCCTGCTAGTTCTTCGGTCGGCGAGGCAGAGACTTCATGCTCTTGTATTCAGTCATGTCTTCTCGTCTGGTAAGGAACACTCCGAAGAATCAATGAACTTTTGCCATTTAATTATTTGCAATCATTTTTGTGCACATCTTGAATGAGTGGCATATACCCGGCGTATAAATACATTCCTCCTGAACTATTTAAATGTGATTTGAACTCCCAAATAAAGAAAATTACGGCATCATCTTCCACGCAAAACAGGCCAAAACGAAGCAAAAAATTAGCTTGGGAAGATTCTAGTGATTTAAAGCATCATACTCAAAATATGGATAGCAAGTGCAAGTGGTAGTCCTTGAGCCCTTTTTTGATCCCTGAACCCAAATTAGTCTTCTTATTACCCTTTAGTTTCTTGAGATTGCAGTGCTTCATTTTTTTCTTCTTTTGTCACGTGCGTCAAAAGTCTCCAATTTACTAACTGCTGCTAGAAGTACCAACCTTTCGTGTTACAGCTTCCTTGTATGATTGTTTTCGCTTCTCTTTTTTATTTATTTATTTGGCACTATGAAAACTGGAGAAAATGCACCTAGTTAATAAAGCAATTTATGCACATAAAACCCTATTATAACTTCTTGCAGCATGGCAAGAAAGAAGAATATTGAAGGAACCTTTTAATCCAGGTTGAGATTGGGCATTAGCAATAGCCTGTAAGAAGAGTAAGATCTGCCTAGAAAGTAACAACACATGCATATTAACAGCTCCTTAGACGAGTGTACAAGCAAGAAAACAAGAGGGGCAGTCCCATTGCTGAAATGACTGAAAAGGAGAAATATAGTCTGATGGTGGTATTAAAGAAGCTGAGCTTGTAAGAAACTACTACTAAATGACGGCATGAACATGTCTAAAATGAAAGCTATTTATTTAGTCCATCAAATTTTGAATGTTAAAAGACAAACCGCAAACACACTGAAGGGTTCACCATTTGGAAAGATGTGATTGATAACGACACAGCAATTCAGCCTGGGGGCCCCTGGGCTTCTGGGTGTATTTTACCAGATAACAAAAAATTATTGCCCATGTCATGATGACAACCCGCCTAACCCTGGGAAGTTCCACAAGCAAGAGGAAATAGATTCCTTCAGAAATTTTAAAAGCATCACATACTCATTTGTAGGATTGCTTTCAATTATTGTCAACTCTATACCGAATGTAAAATTCAAGACAATTCTTTTTAAGAGCGTGCTTGGAAATGTGGGAGCAGAGTTGTATTATCAAAAGGCATTTTGAATTTAAGTTGGGCTTAATAAAGCATATCTCAATTGGCGTCGGGGTCATGATTCCACCCATCTTTTTCCATCGTGTATTAGATTTATCTATTGCTCTCGGAAGTTATGCCAAGCAAACTTTATTCTGCTGGCATTTCTGGACAACTGCAGGACCCCCCCCCCCCAAAAAAAAATTCATTTTGATGTTGAAAATGTTGCCAACTAACATTATTCTTACATGTGTTATCCTTCACATTATTTCTGGGCCAGACAGGGTTTTGGCCCTATTTCGGATATGTCTATGATATATTCAACAACTCTGGCTTTATGATAACGAACTTGATGGTGGAAATTCACCACGACTTGTGTCCACATGAATATGAACGTACGTGTTTACCTTAGCTGGATTCACATGTATCACATTTTCTGCCTTATCTGATACACCTCTTGCTTTGCGTTCAAGGTGTTGCATTTAAAAATATTGTATCAATTCACAAAATGAATATATATATATATATTGCACAGTTTTGTTTTGGGTTGAAATTACATTTGAAGTTCTAAACAGTGAACTGGAAACGGAGGGAGCGCTGAAATCTGAACTCTGGGTTCTATTAATAACAAGAATACTCATGCCATTAGAGCAGAATTAAATAGAAAGGCCATACCGTTTCTCATTCATATATATATATATATTCATATAAATATAAAGAGAGTACCTTGAACGAAAAAAAAAAATTGAATAGGTCAGATTCTTTTGGGGCTAATTGGAGAATATTGTTTGGAGCCAAAGGAAAAACATGTGAGGTGACTGTTAAAAAAGCATGGGACAATGTTCTCTGATTCCTCATGAGTAGGCAACTTTACTCGGTGAAAGAATTCGAATTTGCTTTTTATATATGTTACATCTAGAATATGCTTATGGGCATGTCGTCAAGAGTAGGCTGCGATGGCGCACGGCAATTGCACAGAAGAGTGGGTTGTTACACTTTTCTTTCCCCTCCTTTTTACATATACGCTTAAATACCTTTAAACGATCTTTCTGTTTTTAAGCTTACAATTCAAGGTTGGAATATTGCTCCATATGACAACATATTAGTGATGGATCTCCATCTCTATTTTTCCCTCTACCTTAGTGCCTATCAAAAGAGGCATCCTTTACTTGAGAGCTGAGAATAAACGCAAGGTAAGAGTCTCAAAGACATTGATAGACGATCTATGATTCTATACCTCTAAACGATACAATACCATTAAATAGGTGTCTGCAGTATTTTCCATTTCAGTACATATTAGATTAGACTATTCACTAGTTCCTACCCTTGTATAATATTTAATATATGCAGGGCTTGGTCAAGATTTTTGGCTTTGCTACCTAACATCAAACATGACAAATTAGGTATTGACAAAGAAATTACAAAAGCGGGTCGGGTCCCTATGTTTGAAGGAAAACTGTTGAAGGTGAGCAGAGGAACCTGCAGAGATTGGGGTTGACCAGACTATCAATAGCGTTCTGTTCTTCGATTAATAAAACAGAAAGTAAGCTGATGAGAAAGCTTTTTACTTTCACAGATGGCAAAACCAATTTATTCTTTTTATTTTCTTTATTTTTATGACTAGAGCCCTACGTGGGAAAAGCTAATTAAAAATAGTGTAGAAAGTGGACTCCAAATCATGTGACCCGAGGAAGAATCTCCTTTGAAATTTGTGTGTGTGTGTGTGTACACACACACAAGGACCCTATGGAAAATAATGCATGGCCATATCAAAAGCTTCAGCCATCCCTCTGTCTGTCTTTCTTTTTTTGTGCGCTCTCCCCCCCCCCCCAACCTCTTCCCCTGTCTGTCATGTAAACATGAAAAGTTGAGGGGAATGTCGTCTGGTTCGAGATCATTCGTGCAACTCTCATACATAGCTGCACGGAGTGATTTCGGACCAGGCTTCATTCCCCTCAGCCACCAAGTATACTCTGATCTCTTCCTTACTTCCTATAAGGATGGTATATAAGCATTAGAAATATGACTATCTCCTTGTGCTGCTGGAAAACAGATCCTCCGATGATTGAAGATCGGAAGTGGATGGTGCAAAAACAGTGGGCGATTGGGAACAACAATGAACGATTGATTGGCAGTTGGTTCAGATTCCAGGTGGGTGTGACCCAAACTTTCAAATTTTCTTACTTTTGCTTTGTTTTCTGTCCAATAAGTTTATCTTTTGAGTTTTGGGGTTAGTTTATTATCTTTAGGACTTAAACTAGAAGTTTCTGCTACTTGAAGCTCTTGCGTGTGTTTAGTTGGGCGGAAAATCTGTTTCATCTATCTCAGAATTCATCATAACATGTCCTCCCAGATAGGTCTGGTATTTAACCTTTGTTGGTTATCTTGAACATTTAAAAAACGAAATAACTATGGTATAGGATTGTATTTGTGTGAAGCTCATTATTTCTAGTGGGTCAGGTCTGTTGGGCGGTGTCATATCTTCGTGGATTGTTTGAAGCCACACTTTGATTTAATCCAGCCATTAATGTAAATCAACTTTTGAATTCTACTATAATTCACTGCAATGTTCACGTGAAATCTAGCGGCAATAAAAAGTTCCCCTAAAAAGGCCATTTGAAAGACGGAGTCAAGTGTAGGTAGGTAGTGATCCATGATTCAAATCCTCCAGACATGGAAAAGAATGCCCTAAAAACTTAAAAAGGTAAGTTGTTTTCACATTATAACAATTAAATGACCTTTTTTGGTGCATAAAGACTGGGGTTTTATGCTTATACACGTTAACAAGCTTTGAGATAACATGGTGTGAACATAGATAGCGTGAGCTTAAAAAGTTAAATGATGGCAAAGGCTAAAAAGTTGGGCTCATTTAGTTCTTTCATTGGGGCCTCATTGGCACTTGGGCAGAAAGTGGATGAAAGATTGGGGGAATTTCATTGGGATTGTATTAATTGTCTATTTCACTTGGGTTTGATTCTAACTGAAAATAAGGCACTATTCCCGCCAACACAAGTCTACGCGTCCTTCTCAGAAGCTACCAGCCCGAGGAAGGAAGCCACCTAATTCCTAACTTATTCTTGTGTGTCGGAAGAAGAACGGAAGATGTAATAAGTCAGGACATAGCCGAAACAGGAGTGGGGACCGTGTTGTAAGTGCATGGAATTTTATTCAGTGGATCTATTGCTGATGTAACTGGGAATCTGAGATTATCACAATACTTGCACATAGCCTCGTTTGACACTACCCCAAATAGGACTGGCCATCAGACATAAATATCAAAATGATAGATTTTATTGGGATCTCTCACACTGTCACGGATTGTACGTTGCCATCATAAAGCTGGACTATCTTTAATTAATACAGATGTAAGTAACAATTAGCTTTAATAATTGAGTGAGACATGTTCCTAATCCAATCATTTGGCTGCGGATGAGACAGTCTTCGCGTTAGCTGATGTAAAGATAATAGCAGAGAAATGGAGAGACAATAATTATGATGTAATCTGAGGATGTACGTGTAGAAAGTTCTGTGGGTCTATACGTATAAATATACGAGCATGGGATGACTTGGTACAATCATTACATTACTATGTATTCCCTCCAATTTTATTTGTAAAACACTTTTTAAAAGTAATTTTTTATTTAAAATATAAGTTATTTTATAATAATTAAACTTTTTTTTAATTTTATTATTTTTTATTAACGTAAAAGTATTTAATGTAATTATATTATTATTTAAAGTTAAGGATAAAAATAAAAGTGTTTTTTATTTTTTCATAATATTAAGAAAAAATTTTTTTTTAAAGATATGAGAAATGATTAAAAATATTTTATAATAAAAATAAGAGGGAGTACGTTTTAACGGAGGATGGACAAACTTGGTAAATGTGACATGAATGTTGTAGATGTTAAAGCCCACTATGCTGCCAAACTTGCGTCTTTTAAATTTTAAGAAATCAGATCCAAAATCTAACCCCCATGATCACGTCCCAGAGCTGTTGAAGTCGTTACAGCTTTTTATGGTAGGTCCATCAGTTCATGCTTCTCACTTTTGTGCGTTGGCCTTGTAATATGAAATCAAAGCATACTTTGACAAAAGTACGTAAAATTTTAATAATTAATTTAAGTTAATAAAAATTTTAAAAAATATTTAAAGATAATAAATTAATAAAAAATAATTATTAAATTTAATTTAAGATATAATTTTAAATTAAAATTAAAAAAAATAAAAAAATTATTAATTAATTAAAAAATAAATAAATAAATATTATTAAATTATTATTATTATTATTATTTACAAAAAAGAGAAAAGGTATGTAAAAAAAGAAGAAGAAGAAGAAGAATAAAATTGCTTTCCTGCGTAATGATCATATATAAAATAATAAAAAAAGAAAGAAGAGAGAGGAAAGGGAAAAATAATAAAAAAATTTGTGGGACCCACATTCGTTTTTTTTAAAAGCCACCGTTCTCTTCTCATTTTTCTTCATTTTCTTCTCTTTTGTGTGCGATCAGAGAGAGCGTCTGTAAGCGTGAGTCGCCGCTGCAGAAGATTTGAATTTTTAAGGTAAGAGTTTTTAATAGGATATTTAGGGTGTGATTTCAAACTTTTTAAGACTAAGTATGTGTTCTAAAATTTTTTCTTAACCATCTTTCCTCTTTGGTTTTTGAGTCTATGGTGGTAGAAAATTTAGGATTTGGAAGAGGGATGAATTTATATTGAATAAATATGATTTTTGAGGTTGTTAGTAGTATAATAAATGTTCTAGAGTATAAATTTATTGATGATCTTTGAATTTGTGGCTTAAGAATCAAATCCTAGACTAGATTTTTGTTAAATTTGAAAATATATGTTGATTTATTGAGTTTTAGATGATTATTTGGGATGAGAAATGAATTATTATAGCTATAGAATTATGATTCTAAGTTTGAGACTCAATTTCTAATTTTTGAGTATTTTATGTGCGAATTTATGAAATAAAAAAAATTTTGATAATAAAAATTAGTTTAGAAGTTGATTTTTAGATTATTAATGTTTATTTATAATTAAAAGGGGTTAAAAATTTTACTTAATAGTATTAACTCTAGATTTGTATTAAGATTGAGATTAAGAATTATGTTATATTTTTAATTCTATTATTAGAATTAATTTTTATTAGTTTCAAAAAATTGAAACTAATATTTATAAATAATATGTTATTTGTAGATTGTATTATTGGTGAAGATTGTGGTGGGAGAGAAATTGTAAGGAATAATTTATTGAAAAAGCCACGAGGTAACCATACTTTTAATTTATAATTAGTGTTACTTTATGTTAATTGGGTGATTATTGAGAAAATTATGAATTTTTTTAATATTATATATTGTGCAATATTATTATAAATTTGTTTGATTATTATGGAAGGTGTTGGGAGACTTGCTATTGTTGTTGTATTTATATGCCACGTGGTACGCTCCTATTGGAGCTCAATAGGTGGTTTGTAAGGGCTCGGGCTAATCTACCTTTGGCCGGGTAATTTAGCATCGAGTGAGGGCTACGGCTCGAGGTTAATGGAGGGATATAAGGATGGTTGTTTGTGTGTATTGTAATATTTCTTATATTTGTTGGAATTATATTATTTTTAATTCTCACTTAGTAAGCACACACTTAACTGTTTGTACACACTATCATAAATTAGTATTGGTTACTGGGACTTTTGAGTCTCATTATGTGGTTAACAATTTTCAGGAGAAGAGCCACGAGTGACACGTGGAGGAGTTCCAGAGGCTTAGTGGCATAGATCCACTGTCTCTTTTGGGTATTTGATTTATGATTTATAATGTATTATATTGCCAATATTAGGGCTTTTTGTTTATTGACAATTATATGAATATATAAATGTAATTATGTCTTTCAAACTATTTATATTTTTAGTACACTTTGGATGACTGTAATTTTAATATTTGATTTACTTTGAATTTATTAAAATGGCATGATTATGAGGCCAAATAACTGGCTTGTTTTGAAAATTGACTAAATTATTTATTTTACTTGTTGGGAGTATAAGGATGGACAAATGTGATTTAGTTTACTTGTTGGGAGTATAAGGATGGACAAATGTGATTTAGCCTAATGGCATGTGGGAGGTAAAAATTTATCTAAAATATTGTATTGTGCAAGTTTAAGCCAATTATAAAATATTTTTTATATTGAATTTATTGATATAAAATGTGTTGGGTGGCTATAACCCAACTATGGTTGAGTTAAATTATAAAAAAAAATTTGATGTGTTACAAATCTAAGTGACTTAGTGATACCAAACTTAGCCTCAACTTTGTAAAGGTGGTAGAGGTTGGAGGTTCGAGTCTGGGAAGGTTTCAAAAGACCCCCGTGAGGGTGGGGTGAGGAATAGGCACTGTATCACCAGTGCCGAATGTTGGACTTAGGCCCGCGAGGGTGGTGGGTCCCAGCACCGCCAAAAGACCTTGGGGAGGCAATGGTGAGGCCGTACTGTTACATTAAAAGGCGCCTTTTAATGTAACAGCCTTCCGCTCACCCCGCCTCCCCGAGGTCTTTTGTGACGCTGGACACTCTCCCCCCAGGCCCCACAACAGGGCGACCCCACCCCTTTTGGTGAGCATCAAGAGACACAGGCTTTCCCTGCAGTAGTATGCAGATTATTCCTCACCCCACCAAAAGGTCTTTTGAAGCCTTCCCAGACTCGATCCTCCAACCTCTCCTACATAACAAAGTTGAGGCTGAATCTGATACCATTGTCAATGTATTAATGAGCTTACAACAAAGTCCATATTCATATGCATAATACTGGTCAAAAAAATATTCATATGCATAATATAAAATCCATAATAATCCATGATAAATCAAATCATTCATTAGTTATAATAGGTAGTATGTAGCTAATCTCAAATTTTATATAAAATAAGAGCTTAATATTATTCATCAAAAATTCAATGACATGTGCTCAACTGCATGTCCCCTGTAACTCATTCAAGTATGAGAATGACTGTTTGTCCAGAGGACATATCTTCAACAAATAACATCTTTAAGACAATAAAAGAATAAGATATTGGTTGTCCCTTTTTTTTTTTAATTTCCACTTTTGACACTACATGTATCTTTAAAACGCCCTTGTGCAGGGTTATTAAAATCATCATCTGCAGTTAAAGGAATCAATATATATCTCATAAACTCTTATGTTCGCATTCTGTATTTCTCCAGGAAAAAACAATAGTAATATGAAAGTATAAAGTCATATTCAATTTAGCGTTCAGGAATAAATTCTTGTGCAATCGTTGAAAGGAAATAAGCACAAGATGAGGAGTTGACATTTTGAACAGCAGCTTTTCATGTTAAAAACTCTTGCTCTTTCTCTAACCCTATTTACCATATTGTATGTGAAACTTTAGAAACCTGTTGGCTCCACAAATAATTATGATACAACTAACTGGATTGTAGTCTAGAACTAGGATAAGCATTTCGGGCAGAAGTAAGTGCATGAATATCCATGGAAGCCCCTGCATATCACCCTCTACGAACAGTATAGTGAATGTCGCGAAGCCAGAATAAATGAGGGGGGGTGTGGAAAATCAGACTGCTCTAACAAGTGACAACTACCTTTTGAGTTTAAAAGTCTCTAACACGTGCTAGAAATTGTCTTTTTGGCCATAAAAATAAAAGCTAACTCAGTCATCATTTTCTTTTCTTCTTTTTCACAAGTAATCCGGAATTTGGTATTGCCAGCTATTCTGAATTAAAATCTAGTTGGATCCCAGGCCATGGAAAAAAAAGCAGTAGCTTTTCCAGCATGGTTTTTTCCATCCGCAAGACTCGAACTCAAAATCTTGCGAGAAGAGTACTTGAACTTCTTTCGAATCAACCAAATGGCCATTTTATGTCATCATTTTCTTTTCAAAAGGAGGAGTAAATGAAAGTCAGCCCCTAATAATAGCAATAGCAATAGTAATGATAAGGATAATAACAATGACGATGATTAAAGTGTTCCCTGCCAATACAATCAGCCCAGAGGCCAGAACAAACTTTATATGTTGCAGCGAAATATCTACTGAGAAATAGATGTTACATTGTTGGGATGATTGATTGATAGACAAGATTCAGGTGAAATTCTCAGCATTCTGCTATCAAGTTCCCAATAAAAATAAAACACACAGAAACTTTTTTTTTTGGGTCAAAACATAGAGAGAAATTTGAACACTCAATTGGTGTTGATATGTAAAAAACATTCATTTATCACATTATTAACGAGGAACCTGTAGCAAACACCAAATTAACGTGCCCTTGCTTAGGTACAGGCAAAGATCAGATTCCAAGATGACTTACCAGAGTTGCCAATTAATAAAGTTCCGCTATACATACTGAAGAAAGCTCAGATAAAATGCAGACGAGATAGCTGCCGCTTCAATCTTCATAAGCCTCTGACAGTCTGCCTGAAACACCACGACCTAAACCCACTTATTCCGGATCGCATATTGAACTTAACTTTTATTTGGTTATCAAGAAGTAGCAGCGTTAGATTCAGACCTCTGGTTGTTAG